GTCCCAGCTACTTGGGAGGCTGAGGCAGGAGACTCGCTTGAGTTGGAGGTTGCTGTGAGCTGTGATGCCATGGCACTCTACCCAGGGGGATAGCTTGAGGCTCTGTCTAAAATAAATAAATAAATAAATAAAAGATTTTATTGCACACATGTATACAATGCTTCATACGTAAATACTTCAGTCCGTGTTCAGAATTTCCCAAGTGTTGAAGTAGTATTCATTATAGCAGGTTTATTTTTTAATCTTGTGCATTAACTTGTCTTAGTCTCCTTTGAACAGTTCCCTACTTTGTGTGTAAGAGAGACAAGATGTCTGTCACCCAGGCAGTGATCACCCCTCACTGCAGTCTCCAACTTCTGGGCTCAAGCAGTCTTCCTGCTTCAACCTCCCAAGTACCTGCTACTATAGGCATGCACCACTGTGCCCTGTTAATTTTTTTATTTTTTATAGAAACAGGGTCTTGCTTTTGCTCAGGCTGCTTTTGAACTCCAGGCCCAAGTAGTCCTCCCAGGTAGGCCTCCCAAAATGCTGGGATTACAGATGTTAATCACCATGCATTAATAAGTGGATATTTATGGCTGCATAGCCCTTTAGCTTTATCTTTCTCTTACTGCTTCTTTTTTTTAGAGACAGAGTCTCACTTTGTCACCCTCGGTAGAGTGCTGTGCTGTCACAGCTCACAGCAACCTCCAGCTCTTGGGCTTAGGCGATTCTCTTGCCTCAGCCTCCCGAGTAGCTGTGACTACAGGTGCCCACCACAACACCCAGCTATTTTTTTGTTGCAGTTTGGCTGGGGCCAGGTTCGAACCTGCCACCCACAGTATATGGGGCCGGTGCCCAATGCACTGAGCCGCAGGCACCGCCCTTACTGCTTCTTTCTAGGGCTTCCTAAATGTTTAGAATAAGCCCTAAGGTACTATCTTTTGTACATTAGTAATTGCAAAATTTAAAATTCTGTTACAGTACAAAATTGTAAAAGTTATATATGTGAGGAAAGATCTTAGGATGTACACAAAATACTCCCTAAAAAAGTCATGCTGAGCTGGCTACTTTGGCAGAAGCCAGCACATTGTTATTGGGGATGCTAGTAGCAAAGTTAACACCTGTGCATTCTATCTCCTTACCTCAATTTTGAATTTTTAAGGACTGATATTTTGTCTCCATTATTTTAATCATGCAGTGATTTAAAACTGTGCAGTAAATATTTTGATAATTATTTTTATGGATCAAGAGTAAAATGTTCAGTAAAAGAACCCTTAACTTTGGACTTATGAGAGGAAGTTCAGCTCACATGGTATATAAACATTCATTCATAAACAGTGTTCTTCTAAAACTGAGTATTCTGGGTGATAGAATAAAGTATACTATTTAAATATTTTGTCTTCACCTTCAAATTTGAATGTGCTGCTTTGGTCACAAAAAGTTAATACCTCCTTGAAAAATACTGGATGCTAGTAAATTTTTACCTAAAGTAGCATTGTTGAATCTAGACTTTTTCTGACATTGGCAAATGTTTAGACAGTAGTAAAACAAGGAGTTAAAAACTTGAAAGTCTTGGTGGCTATTATCTTCCAGAAATGTTTCTGGCCTGAGTTCTTCACATTTTATCCTTGGTAATAAATCTGTTTCTTTTTAATCATTATATGATTCAAAAATCATTTTACTACTTCACTTTAGATGGAGAGGAGAAAACCTATGGTGGCTGTGAAGGCCCTGATGCCATGTATGTCAAATTGATATCTTCTGATGGTCATGAATTTATTGTAAAAAGAGAACATGCACTAACATCAGGAACAATAAAAGCCATGTTGAGTGGCCCAGGTAACTGCAGTTCTTTCCTTTTCTTCATATTTTTCACTTTTAATAATTTCAAAATGTGTTTTTAATTGAATTAAATGACTCAGCATTTAAAGAGAAGGAATAATTCTTGTAATATTATTGCATTCTTGTTTGCATTGAAAAAAATTAGTTTCGGTCGGTACCTTGTGGCTCAAGTGGCTAAGGCACCAGCCACATAGACCTGAGCTGGCGGGTTCAAATCCAGCCTGGGCCCACCAAACAACAGTAACGGCTGCAACCAAAAAATAGCCAGGCGTTGTGTTGGGCACCTATAATCCCAGCTACTTGGGAGGTGGAGGCAGGAGAATCGCTTGAGCCAGGAGTGGGAGGTTGCTGTGAGCTGTGATGCCACAGCATTCTACCCAGGGTGACAGCTTGAGGCTCTGTCTCAAAAAAAAAAAAAAGAAAAAGAAAAAAATTATAGTTTCTTTCAATTTCTGTTTTTAGCCACTTACCCTCCAGGTTTCTTTCTTATTTTTCTTTTTTTTTTTTTTTTTGGAGACAGTCTCATTCTGCTACCCAGGTTAGAGTGCCATGGCATCACGCTAGCTCACAGTAGCCTCTGGGTTCAAGTGATTCTCCTGCCTCAGCCTCCTGAAGAGCCACAACTCCGAGCTATTTTTTCTATTTTTAGTAAAGATGGAGTTACTATCTTTTTTTTTTTTTTGCAGTTTTTGGCTGGAGCTGGGTTTGAACCTGCGAACTCCGGTATATGGGGCTGACGCCCTACTCCTTTGAGCCATAGGCGCCACTTGGAGTTACTGTCTTGCTCAAGCTGGTCTTAAACTCCTAAGCTCAAGCTATCCTTCCTCAGGCTCCCAGAGTGCTAAGATTACAGGCATGCACCATCACACACAGCCAAACCACTACAAATTTCAGTATGACTGAATTAATTATTTTGTAATAAAGTTTGTTTGCCTACATTAGTCTTCGTGGCCAACTTTTTAACCACAGATCTAAATAAAATTGGTGATTTGTATTCCTAGTTAGGTATAGTTATCTGTCAAAGTTAACACCTCCCAACCTCCCAAGTCTCTATTCTTACCTTTTTTTCTTGAACTAAAATTCACATAATAAAGAAATCCTGTTTTAAAGTGTACAATCCATTGGCATTTTCTATCTTCACAGCATTTTGCAGCCATCACCTTTAGTTCTAAAACATTTTTACTATTTAAGAAGTAAACGTTGATGCATTAGACTGTCACTACTCAGTCCCATTCTCTATTCCCAGTGTCTGACAGCCACTGCTTTCTGGTTTACCTGTTCCATACATTTCATCTAAGTAGAATCAAGGGCTGAGTACAGTGCCTCACACCTGTAATACCAGTGCTTTGGGAGGCCAAGGTGAGAGGATTACTAGAGCCCAAGAGTTTAAGACCAACCTGGGTAACACAGCAAGACTCTGTCTCTACAAAAAATTAATTATTAGCTGTGCATGGTGCTTGTTTATAATCCTAGCTATTCTGGAGGGTGAGGTGGGAGCTTGAGTCCAGGAGTTCAACCCTGCAGTTAACTATGAGCATACCACTCCAACGTAGGCAAGAGAAACCCTATCTCTAAAAAAATAATCATCAAGAAACAGAATCATACAGTATGTTGCCTTTTGTGTCTGGCTTTTGTTACTTGGCATAATGCTTTCAAGGTTTAACCATGCAGTATCATGTATAGTACTTAATTCCTTTTTATGGCTAAATAATGTTCTACTATGTGAATATATCACATTTTTTATTTTTAATTATTTTGGGTACATAATAGTTGTATATATTCATAGGGTGTGTATGATATTTTGATACAGGCATACAATGTATATTAATCAGATCAGGGTAATTGGAGTATTCATTACCTCATGCATTTGAATATACCATATTTTGTCAATCTTTTCATTAATTGGTAAATATTTGGGTTGTTTCTACCTTTCTGTTATCATGAATAGTTCCTCTGTGAACATTAATGTATGAATATTTGCTTGAAACCTGCTTTCATTTCTTTGGCTTATCCACACTGGAGTGGAATTGTTTGAGCATATGATAGATAACTGTTAAAATTTTGGAGGAACCACCAAACTTTTCATAGCAGCTGAATTATTTTGCATTCCTACCAACAAGTGTCCTAGGGTTCCTGTTTTTTGCGGTTTTTTTTTTTTTTTTGGCCAGGGCTAGGTTTGAACCCACCACCTCCAGCATATGGGGCTGGCGCTCTACTCCTTTGAGCCACAGGCGCTGCCCAGGGTTCCTGTTTTTACACATCCTGTTCAGTATTTATTGTTCTCTGTCTTTCTGATTGTAGCTATCCTAGCGAGTATATAGTGATAGCCCCATGGTTTTGATTTGCATGTTCTTAATAACTAATGATGTTGAACATTATTTCATATGCTCACAGGCCATTTGCTAATCCTCTTTGGAGAAATGTCTGTTCAAGCATTTTGCCATTTTTGAATTGGGTCATATGTCTTTTTGTTGTTGAATTGTAAGAGTTCTTTATTAATTCTCAGTAGTACATCCTTTTCAGATGTATGATGAGCCAAAATTTTCTCCTGTCCCATAGGTTTGTCTTTTCTTTTCTCTTCTTTTTTTTTTTTATTTTGTCATTCTCTTGCCTCAGCCTCCTAAGTAGCTGGGACTACGAGAACCAGCCACAATGCCCACCTGTTTTTTTTGGTTGCAGTTGTCGTTGTTGTTTAGCAGGCACTGGGCCAGGCTCGAACTTGCCAGCCTCGGTGCATGTGGCAGCCACCCTAGTCGCTGAGCTAGGGGTGCCAAGCCCATAGTCTTTTCTTGATGATGTCATTTGAAGCACAAAAATGTTTAATTTTGCTGAAGTGTGATTTTTCTTTTGTTTTTATGTCACATATAAGAATCTATTGACAAATCTAGCCTCATGGAGATCTCATGAAGTTAAATTCACTTGTTTTTTCCTTGAAGTTGTATGGATTTGGCTCTTACATTTAGATTTTTCATTTTAAGTTATATTACACTTTTAGGAAGGGAGCAACTTTATTCTTTCACATGTGTATATCTCACTACTATTTGTTAAAGAGACCATTCTTTCCCTGTGAATGGTCTTGGCACCTCTGTTGAAAATTCATTGACCACAGATGTGTGTATTTATTTCTGGGATCTCTATTCTCTTGATCTGTATGAGGCCTCTTAGTTTGTTTTTCTGTTGCAAGATTATTTGGCTGTTTGGGATCTCTCGAAATTCCTCTTGTGTGTGTTTTACTATAGAGAGTTTAATAGAGAAATTGTGTAATACACCCAATCTTATTTTGTTTCAGTATTTCTAAATTTTTTGGAGTATTTTGAGCAAATTCCTGACTTAGTCTCCTTTCATGGTCTTGCTTTGCTGCCCAGGCTAGAGTATGGTGGCAGCGTCATAGCTCACTACAACCTCAAACTCCTGGGTTCAGAAGATCGTCTTACCTCAGCCTCCCAAGAATCTGGGAGGCATGTGCCATGAAGCCCAGCCGGATGTCCACATTTCAGATCCAGTTAACATTTTGTCCTATAGGGCGGCGCCTGTGGCTCAGTGGGTAGGGCGCTGGCCTCATATACCGAGGGTGGTGGATTCGAGCCCGGCCGCAGCCAAACTGTAACAAAAAATAGCCAAGCGTTGTGGTGGGTACCTGTAGTCCCAGCCACTCGGGAGGCTGAGGCAAGAAAATTGCCTAAGCCCAGGAGTTGGAGGTTGCTGTGAGCTGTAACATCATGACACTCTACACTGAGGGCAATAGGGCGAGACTGTCTCTGGGAAAAAAAAATCATTTTGTCCTATAAACTCCTAGCTAGAATTCTAGAGACTTGATTTGACTCTGGTTTATTTTTCTAGGCAAGAATACTTTCTTTATAGCTGGTATGTACAGTTGTATTTCTGTTTGTTATCATATCTTTTTGATATTAAGTTTGATCAGAGTTCCAGGATTGTCAGGCTAATTCATACATGAAAAACTCCCCAGTCTGACTGACTTATTGTGATTATTGCTGAGCTTTCCTTCATTTGGTTTACAAAATGGTGATTTTCTAATTGTGTCATTTCTTCCGCATTTATCAGTAGAATTCTCATACAAGGAACTATTTGGTTACCTTGAAATATAGTCTGTATAGGAAAGACAAGATAAATGCTTAATTTTCTGCCTTTGCATATAATTTTTCAAGTAAAAAGTGTTTTCTTTTTGAGAGTTTGTATATTATCATGAACTCATGATTTTTTATATTTCATGCTTTTGAGTCTGTTAGACTCATTCTTACTGGTGTTCAGGTTCTTCCATTCGCTCCATTTTTATTCCAGAAAGAGCCACATTGAGTGGGTTCCTGTGTCCTTTTGATATGACTCCATTGGTCTTTATTAGCTATGCTACTTTTTGTAATAAGATTTCTCAGGTTTCTCTGTACATTATCCCCCAAACCTGAAAACAGTTGTTTTCCCAAAGAGCCTTGTTTTCTTTTAGTATAAAATGGCATTTAGAGGCCCCAGTCTGGGTGCCAGAGATACACGTTGCTCCTGGGCCGAACTTTTTGTTAGTCTTTTTCACTGGACAGTCCTGAGACATATTTTATTTTAGTTTATTATTTTTTTTTCTGTTGTTGAGACAGTCTCACTATGTCACCCTTGGTATAGGGCCCTGGCATCACAGCTCACAGCAACCTCAAATTCTTGGGCTTACAGTGATTCTCTTGCCTCCGCCTCCCAAGTAGCTGGGACTACAGGCTCCCACCACAACACATGGCTAGTTTTTGTTGCAGTTGTCATTGTTGTTTGGCCTGAGCTCAGTTCAAGCCCGCCAGCCTCCAGGTATGTAGCTGATCCCCTAACCACTGTGCTATGAGCGCCAAGCCAACTAAGATGTATTTTAGAGAGGAATAATCAACAAATGTCAACAAAATTTAAATTGTAAATTAAGATTAGGACCTGGACAAGTGGCTCATGCCTAAAATCCTAGCACTCTCAGAGGCTAAGGCAGGAGGATCACTTGAGCTCAGGAGTTTAAGACCAGCCTGAGTAAGATCAAGACCCCAACTCTACTAAAAACAGCACCTGTGATCCCAGCTTCATGGGAGGCTATAGCAGGAGTATTGCTTGAACCCCAGAGTTTAAGGTTGCTGTGGGCTAAGCTGATGCCATGGCACTGTAGCCTGGCTTTTTATAAATTTGATCTTTAATTTAAACATAAGATTTATTATCTTTGAAGGATCAGGAAAACATTCAACCTAAAACTAATGTTTGCAGAGAAAGGAATGAAGTACTGATACATGCTACGATGACAGGTGCAATTCCAAAACTCGCCAAGTGGGGAAAAAAAGAGGTCACATGTTTATTATTCTATTTATATGAAATATCCAGAATGGATAAATCCATAGAGACAGAAAGCAGATTAGTGTTTGCTAGAGGCTACTGGATGGGATTTAACTACTTAATGGGTTTACTTTGGGTGATGAAAACGTTTTGTAACTAGAGGGAATGGTTTTGCAACTTTGTGAAAGTACAAATGCCACTTCCTACACTGTATACTTTAAAATGGTTAATTTGATGGGATGTCAATTTCACCTCAACAAAAAGAACACTAATTTTTGTCTGGTATCAAAGGCTGAAGTGCTTATTTGTAGTATTTCATTACATATATTTAACAAAGGGAATTTTAGTTATTGTCAAATTAAACTTTACCGTACTGTGAATTATTTGCTGAGTCATACTGTCCTCTGAACGTACATCACCAAATAGACCAGTGCTGTTCAATCTTTTTTTAATCTCATGGCACACTTCAACCTATAGTTAAACTTCCATGGCACACTTAAATTAGGTTGATCTATAAAAAGAGTTAAGGAAAGAATATACTTAGTGTGCTTTGAACTTATTTCAATTTTTTTTTTCCTGCAACAGAGTCACAAACTGTCACTCTGCGTAGAGGGCTGTGGCAACATCTCTCACAGCAACCTTCAACTCTTGGCTCAAGCAATCCTCATGCTTCAGTTTTTCTATTTTTTATATAGATGGGGTCTTAATTTTTGCTCATGCTGGTCTTGAACTCGTGAGCTCAAGCAATCCACCCACCTTGGCCTCCCAGAGTGTTAGGATTACAGGCTTTTTAAATATCATTAATTATTGGGCTGGGTGCAGTGGCTCACGCCTATAAAAATGCTAAATGATACAGCCTTTACATGGATGTAGAAATTTTGAGAAATGACTAAAAAACTTTATAAACAAAGGAGATCATATTTTCAAAAACTGAGAAAGAAACAATGGATTTCCTTTCCTGTAAGATTTCTTTGAAATAGTCTTTCTCTTACTTTATGCTTATATATTCACATACAGCCAGAAAAATCAAATCAGAAAATCTTATTTGTGCTCACTTTATTTTTACATGGTACTTCAGTAAAACACAGGGCTTCTAATGATTCATAAAGACTTTGATCCCTGGACCAAATCTTCCAAAGGAATGATACAGTTTTTGTCATCTTGCTCACCTTTCAGTAATCATGCCACCAAGATTCTTAGAAAAAGCTATTTAAGTGTCCAGCTCACAGGGAGAGAATTAGAATTTTAAAATTCAGTCTTGAGGGCTGAGTGCAGTGGCTCATTTCTATAATCCTAGCACTCTGGGAGGCAGAGGCAGGAGGATCACTTTAACCCGGGAGTCTGAGGTTGCCATTACCTAGGCTGCCACCACAGCACTCTATCCTGGGCAACAAAATGAGACTCTGTCTGAAAACAAAACAAAACAAATTTCTCTTGATGAATTTCAAATTGCTGTTTTTTGTTTTTTGAGTGTCTCACTCAGTCACCTTGGGGTTAAGTGCTGTGGCATCATAGCTCACAGCAACCTCAAACTCTTGAGCTCAAGCAATTCTCTTGCCTCAGCCTCCCAAGTAGCTGGGACTACAGGCTCCCAGCTGTTAGAGATGGGAACTCACTCTTGCTCTGTCTGGTCTCAAACTCCTGAGCGCAAGCAATGCTCTCACCTCGGCCTCCTACAGTGCTGGGATTATAAGTGTGAGCCACTGCACTGGGCCTAGACAGCTTAGGCGAGTCTCTTACCTCAGCCTCCCAAGTAGCTGGGACTGCAGGCACCCACCACAATGCCCAGCTATTTTTATCTTCATCTTTTAAATTAGAGAATTTCTGATGTTAATTGGGGTTATTCTTGTAACATCTATTAGTTTTCTAGGTATTTTCCATAACAAAATACCACACAGGCTGAGCGGCTTAAACTGTAATTTTCTTACCATTCTAGAGGGTAAGAAAGGTTGAAGATTAAGGTGTTGGCAGAATTGGGATTTTTTCCTGAGGCAACTCCCCTTGGCTTGTAGAGAGCCATCTGCACCCTTTGTCTCCCCATGGTCTTCCCTCCATCCCTATCTAATCTCTTCTTACAAGGACAGCCAATCAAATTTGATTGTCACCCATATAACCTCATTTTAACTTAATTACGTCTTTAAAGACTTTATCTCCAAACAGTAAGATTTTAAGGTACTAGTGGTTAAGACTGCAACTTGTAAGTGCAGTGGGGAGACAATTCAACCCATAACATCCATAATTCTTTTGTTTTACAGGTCAGTTTGCTGAGAATGAAACCAATGAGGTCAATTTTAGAGAGATCCCTTCACATGTGCTGTCAAAAGTATGCATGTATTTTACCTACAAGGTTCGCTACACTAACAGCTCCACGGAGATTCCTGAATTCCCAATTGCACCTGAAATTGCACTGGAACTGCTGATGGCTGCGAACTTCCTAGATTGTTAAATAAAATAAATTATAATAAACTGTTAATTTTTTCAGTATTTAATACCTGTAGTTCAGTTAGTAATTTTTTCATATATAGCATGTTGCCTGTATGCAGTTGAACTATAAAAGTTCATTGCAAAACAGATTATCTTGTTTTTTGCATAGCAATCAGGGTTGAAGTTTGTTTGCTATATCAACAAATTAAGGACATTTTCACAAACAGAAATAAACGATATGCCAATTTGTAGGTGGTTTTGCTTTATCCTTTGGATGTGACTTTTAAAAGTAGAGCAATGATTATACAGTAAATGCTGAAATTTAGGCATAAATGAACACATACTACAGGTAAAAAATGGGGCTAAGTATTTTTATGTTTTTAGTGTTTTTTTAAAAACCTATTCTGGTCATATAGCCGCCATTAGCATTACTAGAGTTATGCAAATAATTGCATTATAAACATGTTTATAACTTAGCCAAAACATTGATTTTTTTATAACTCTTCAAGAATAAGAGTTGAAATTTCTTATGTCTTTTGATAAACTGCAGTATTGTTTAAGTGTATCTTGTCCTTTTGTTTGTTGCTACAATTTAAGAAATTTATTTAAAAGCAATTTTGGGAGGTAACTAGGTATAGCTTTTGAAGCAGTAACTGAACTACATAGTCAGATGGTCAACAAGTAAACTACATGACTTAGAATGCTTGCGCATTGTGCATTTTGGACTGATCAAAGTACTGTATTTTCATTGACTATAAAGTTTCCTTTGCAATTTTCATTCTTCCTTTATAGTCCTTTGTTGTGATTACACTTCCAATTGCTTAAATGTGTTTTAAAAGACTCACTATGAACTTTATCTAGATCTTAAAAGCTAGATTTTTCAGAACTGTTCCAGTCTTCCTTCATCCAACTGGGATGTTGTACAATAACATGTAGAGAGGTACCCTGAAAATCTTATAATGCACTTATACATGAATTATCTTCTATTAAGTAAAATATCTCAATAAACAGGATACCCATAAATAGGTTTTCAGCTGAAATCAGACTCACAAGGAAGTCATTCAGCTTTTTTAGTAACCAGTCAAAAAACATTTCAAAACCTATAACCAAGTGTCCTGCTTAGGCCTGGGAAAAGAAGCACTGGAGATGGGTGTAGTCTATCTTAATAGTAGAACAAAGTTGTCATTTGATGGTCTATGAACTTAAGACTTAAGTTTATTTCTTCAAGACTGTCTTAATATGAACTGACTCTTCCGGAAGCTGCAAAAACCATAAACAAAAGCAATTTTTTCTCAGAATACCTACACATAGCTTTTCAGCTTATTGAAAGCAGTTAAAGATACATTGCATATTTTTAGTAATTTCTTAAGGTAATACTGGTACATATTTTAGTGTAAGAAGGTTATTTATCAAGTATAAGAATTATATTCTGGGCTCGGCGCCTATAGCTCAACCGGCTAAGGTGCCAGCCACATACACCTAAGGTGGCGGGTTCGAATCCCCAGCCTGGACCCGCCAAACAACAATGATGGCTGCAACCAAAAAATAACCGGGCGTTGTGGCGGGCACCTGTGGTCCCAGCTACTTGGGAGGCAGAGGCAGGAGACTCGCTTGAGCCCAGGAGTTGGAGGTTGCTGTGAGCTGTAATGCCACAGCACTCTACCCAGGGGGACAGCTTGAGGCTCTGTCTCAAAAAAAAAAAAAAAAGAATTATATTCTGGGGCGGTGCCTGTGGCTCAGAGAGTAGGGCGCCGGCCCCATATATTGAGAGTGGCAGGTTCAAACCCAGCCCTGGCCAAACTTTACTGAGGGCAACAAAGTAAGACTCTTGTCTCTTAAAAAAAAAAATGCTGCCCCTTGGTGACAAATAATGTCAACTATAAACCTAAATGTTGATTTCAAAAGTTAAGCTAGCTAGAAATAAAGTTTAACTTGACCAGTTTTTTTACTTGCTGTTCATAACTATTCCTTCTCTGGCATTGACTGGTTTTTATAGGTTACTTTATGTATTAGATCCAGAAGTAACCTTACGTTTAAGACATTAACATAAAACTGAAACAAAGATTAGGTAAACATGTATATCTTGAAGCAAATGGTATTTGCATGTTAATAAAGGCTGATTAAAAGGTATGAGGAACACTTGGTGTTTGATCTTTTTAGCCTTAGCTTTCTTTTTCTGAGGATTCATGAAACTGTTTGCTTCAGGACATCTTGCCATATGATTTAATATTTGGAATAATAGCATTGAAATCTTAGTGGGCATGGTGGCACATGTCTATAATTCTAGCACTTTGGGAGGCCAAGGCAGGAAGATGGCTTGAGGCCCAGAGTTTGAGACCAGACTGGGCAACACAGTGAGACCCTGTCTCTGCAAAATTTTTTTAAAAATTAACCAGGCGTAATTGTGTGCACCTGTTGTCCCACCTATTAGGCTCAGGCAGAAGGCACTCGAGCCCAGGAGTTTAGGGGTGCAAACTCGTACGATCATAGCACTGCACTCCTGTCCAAGCAACAGAGCAAAACCCTGTCTCAAGAAAAAAAAACCTAAATGATTTTCTAGTAATTAGCTTCACTTTTTGAATTATGTACACATCTCCCCAATATATTTTTTCTGCATAAAAAATAATACTTTAATATTTCACTTTTGTCCTGTCTAGATTATGCTTTTTAGATTGTGTATCTTTCATGCAGTTAGTGTCAACAGATGAGTCTCCTACTTTTTATTTTCTTGAGTCAGTGTCTCTGTCACCCTGGGTAGAGTGCTATGGCATCATAGCTCACAGCAACCTCAAACTCTTGGGCTTGAGTAGTCCTCTTGCCTCAGCCTCCTGAGTAGCTGGAACTACCGGTGCCTGGCTGATTTTCCTATTTTTAGTAGAGATGAGATCTCACTCTTGTTCAGGCTTGTCTGGAACTCCTTAGGTCATGCAATCCACCAGCCTAGGCCTGTCAGAGTGCTATGATTACAGGCGTGAGCCACCACTCCCAGCCTCCCCGCTTTTAAAGATCCTTATTTATACTGAGAGGTAGAATTTACTACAGGGGATAGAACTGTCATCTTGGTGTGAGTCACTTTGCTAAGCTTATCAATTATTCTTTGAAAATAGGGTACATATTCTAAGAAATAATGTAAAATTGCTGTTTAAGAGTGAAGAGTGTTTACGTCAAGTTATTCCTATCTGTGTAGAGGAAATTTCACACAATAACAAAGCTTTAATGTATCCAGTTTTAGGAGTGCTAAATTGAGCCTTTGGCTGTATCTAAGTGTGATACAGCACAAGGTCTGGTAGTCAGAAGATGCCATTGATCTTTTATGTATTGTGTTTTATTTGCAATATGTAAATCTGGTTTATTTGCAAGCCAATCATATATGTGCTAATATTTTAAATTCCTATTAGGCTAAACTTCTAAATATTATGCCTGCTGGTTTGTTAGTTTAAACAAATATTCATTAGCCTAGAAATATTTTGGTATATTAAATGGAGCACCAACCTGGGAGTTGGAAAGTCTAAGAACTTTTATGCTAATTAGTCATGTGACCTTGAACAAGTTCTGGGGCCCCCATTTCCCACCTGTAGAATTAGCAGGCTGCATATCTGTAGGGTAAAGTTACCATCTTATTTTTTCAATTGTGAATATGGCTTAAACCCAAGATTGTAACATTACAGATGATGAGATTTAGGAAAGTTAAGAACTAGAGGGAAGGCTTGGTGCCTGTAGCTCAGCGTCTAGGGCGCCAGCCACATACACCAGAGCTGGCGAGTTTGAATCCAGCCCAGGCCTGCCAAACA